ATCGCAGATGCGTTTGATATCTAGAGGAGTTTTTTACCCGGTTAACGATTCGGCGCTGCCATGATGAAAGTCGTTAAGGGGAGCTACAGGAATTTCTATAGAAGATTCCCCAAGACAGAATGCTGATAAGGAAAGAGATGGCTAAAAACATCGTAAGGGTTACTCGCCGAAAATTATATAAGATCTGGAGAAATAAAGAGTTCCTCCTATATAATCAGGTAACGAAACTCGCTTAGGGTGCTAATGAGACCTAGACGAGGTTGAAACATCGGTCTACCCTGGATGGAATGACTCTTCCGAAAGAAGAGGCTAAGTGAAATTTAATTGCGAGTGACCCACTTATTTCGGTTAGAAAATGAAAATATTAGTCGTTAAATCATCAATTGCGAAGTTTTTCACAAAGAAATTTAAGTTTGCAATGTACGAAAAACGAGTTTCGAAGGATCCCCAAATAGAGTGATGTTGGAATACCTTTCATTTAATTTAAGGAAGTGAGTGAAAGGGATTCGTAAGTTGGTTTGACCGGAGGCTGTGGTTGGTGGGCTTGCCGAGAATGATTACTCATTTACTTGTAGTCTCGAAACTCTACTTACATACGAAAAATAAGTAACATAGTCGATTGTCATAGCAAAAATACATTTGCTTTATCGACAATCACACTAAAGAATGTGATATGGAAAATGACGTGGCCTTCCTTGAAATTGATATCTGCCCTGTGACCCAAGGACATTTCAGAGATAAGCGCCTAAAGTAAAACGTAGACTGGAACTGGAGCCGAGTGAAATCGATCAACCAGAAATATAGGAAACTGATCTAGGGGAGCATGAGAGAAATCCGGATAGGAGGCTCGAGAAAAATTAGCCGATTGAAACAAAGGGGGCCAAGGTCAATAGCAGATGTGATGAGGCCACACGAAATGTGCCATAAAGGGCACACATTTTTATGAGTGGAATATAAACAAGTCAGAAGTTGTGATAGGGCGGGAGTTTGATAATAGGTTAAACAGTGGATAGATGGGTCAGGACAGAAATAAGAGTGATAGCGTAACCGTTTCGGCAAAACC